ATCAAAAAGGTTAGGCTAGGTAAGATTCGTTAGGAAACAGGACAAGCAATGGTGGGCACAGCTAACCGAAAAGTTAGCTTCGCTAACCGCTAATCTGCTAACTAAAAAATGAGCTCCGCTAACGCTGAACCGCTAAACGGCCCAAAAAAATAGCGGAAGTTAACGTTAAAAATTAACCGCTAACTTTTTCACATGAATGCAGATTCGGTTTAGTTTTTTGGTCTTTTACTTTTATTTTTAAGACTTTTAGAACAAACCTGGAGAACTTCTTAATAAAATATAGAATGCCAAGGTCATAATGACAGTGTTGCCAACAGTACTCATCCTTAATACTAGAGTATAAGTACCAGTGTTGTAAAATAACGAAGTAAAACTGTACTTAAGTAACTTTTTTCGGTAATTACTTTTTAAAAAGTAATGAAATTGTTCACTACTTTTACTTAAGTACTGAAGTCTGTTATTATTTTTACTTCGCTACAATCTGATAACGATACGTTAGTCGTTACATCAACAATAATTTTTGAAAAGTAAACACCGAGAAAAGTTACTCAAGTGCAGTACTCAGGTAATTTTACTTAAGATAAGATAAGATAAGATTTCGTTCGGATTTTTAACCCCGGAGGGTTAGCCACCCAGGATAACCCAAGAAAGTCAGTTCGTCATCGAGGACTGTCTAACTTATTTCCATTGGGGTCCTTAATCTTGTCCCCCAGGATGCGACCCACACCAGTCGACTAACACCCAGGTACCTATTTGCTGCTAGGTGAACAGGACAATAGGTGTAAGGAAACGTGTCGGAATTTCCACCCGCCGGGAATCGAACCCGGGCCCTCCGTGTGTGAAGCGGGAGCTTTAGCCACCAGACCACCGGACCACAACACTGGGAAAGGTACTGTACTTCTAAACTGTCATAACTTGCAATACCCACGAAAATATCACAAAATCTAGTAGTAGTAGTTTAATAAGCGCACAGGAAGTACAACATATTGGCGTTCTTCGTATCCTTGACTTAAGGACAGTCATCTATGTGGTTCTGCGACTCCTGGCCCTCAGCCTGAGCGGTCTCTGCTTCAACCACAGCTCCTGCAGACTCCTCAACAACTCCTTCATGCGGAACAGAAACGTCTCCCCTGTTCATAACGATAAGTGACAACGCACCCCGGTGATCGCTGACACTGTAAGACTATATAACAATGCTGCTGCGTTGACAAGTCACTTGACGCGTAGTCAGCCAATATCGTGCCTGTTGGAGAAACGCCCACAACAGACACGAACAAACACGTGCGCCGTTGAAAAGGCATTGCTTTCCGACTACCAACAACGTATGAATTTTTTTTAGCGGACTCAAAGTTAGCGAAACTTTATTTAGCGGAAGCTAATTGGTCCGCTAACGGTTTCCAAAGTTAGCAGAAACGCTAATCCGCTAAACAAAAAGTTAGTTCCGCTAATTTGTTGTTAGCAGATTAATGGAACTGTGCCCACCACTGAGGACAAGTGTTTTCTGACCCAAGTCTTAATTTTATGATGTCCCGCCACTGGAGCTTTTGGTCATTTGATCGAGGCCTTCCACTGGCTTACCCCTCCATCACTTTAAAAATTAATTTGATTATTCAGATCATCAGATTATTACTATTATAGTAGGTAGTACTATATTAATAATATAATAGTAAATAGTTGTGATATAATAATATTTTTACTGCATTTATGGGGTGCAGTAAACCCGCAGGCGTCATACAGCGCCTTGGGGAATGGAAGGCATTCAGACTCTACTAAAGCAATTGGGGTACGGGTCCAATTCCTTATATCAAGAGTCCCTCACCAGCATCAAAGTCACCACTGAAAGCGGGTAGTAGCAGTAGTATATTGTATTTATGTGAGGCGCTAAACCCATCTGTGCCTTTTTGTGTAATGAGCGGAGGAGACTGGAGCCTCCGTCTGCTAAGCGCATGACAGACATGGTAATTACCTGTGCTCATCTAGTTGCCCCGTGTGGCTAGAAAATCAATTGTGTCCCAGACAAAGAAATTACTGCCACACATTTTGATGTGCTTTTTTGACATCACACACTTTACTATCTGTGCGGAAAGGTATTCTCGATAATTTAAGACAGTATCTGTTTACTAATGACTGTGACGGACGTCACTGTTCCTCCGTAACAGTGATGTGCAGTTTTATTCCTCCGTGCTGGTGCGGTCACTGGCTACAGTGAGAAACCTATCAGCGACGTAGAGGCGTAATGCATACAGGTATGTGTGTGTATATGGAACATATAAAGAACAACCTTTTATTGGCACTAGGTTTCACTCGGAGTTTAACTTTATCAATACTGTTATATATTGTACTTGTGAGCGTTGTTCTCTCTTGCGATGAGCAGTTTCGCTCCTCCTAAGACCCCAGATGTTCTTGACAGTCTTAGTACACACGTGACGACCGTCTTGTGACTTTGACACGCATACTTATGTTCGTAAGTAATCGCATTCAAGGTACACAAAAGCAGTCTGGACGCTGACAACCTTTCGCTTGAAAACCAAACTTTGTCAATGATACTCGAAAAGATGAGCAAGACATGTGTAGTAAAGATACCTAAGTGTTGCACATGTGTCTTACTCGTCAACTTGTCGGTATTATAAACCATTTATTATAGTTTAAAAGCTTGGTCACCAACGAAAAGTTGTCGAAATAGCACCAAAATTGCTTTTGTGTCTTCATTAAAAAAATTAAGTATTTTTATACATCGTACATCCAATCGCATTCAGTTTCACAAAATGTTACCCTACACATTGTTTATTTTAATTATGTGAAATCATATTAATTCCTCTCTTAACCATGATACAGAATTCACAATAGAAAAAAAAATGGATACTGAAATTACTCGTGCTGACATAAATTAAATAAAATTGAAAAATAATGAACGTGTAATCCCAACAGATCTACGTCATCACTATGAAAGCAATTATCTTCGTTTAGAAATTAACAAAAAAATAAAATGCTTAGAGAGCAAGTCCTCTCGAGCTAGAGTGTGGCACTGGGTGAAGAAAGATATCAGTGGGCACCAGCACGTTGCCCTTTAACGCACAGGCTCAGTTATTTATTTCAAGTAAAAGAAATGTGCTTCCACCTTAATGTTATTCTGTACCTGGGAACAATTCGAAAATTTCTTGAAAGCAGATATAAACACAACGTCAAAGTTATAGTCATCATTCTGTTATGAGGCTCCATAGATCCACATGTAAATATGTTTTCATGGTCTACAAAACCTAAGACATTTGTCAGGCATTTGCACTGAGCTAAAATTATTTAGATCTCAGGGTAAAATGACATAAGACAGTCCGCCTCACTGGGAAAGCCTGTATACCTGGGTGTTCGGGGGTCAACGCCCCCGTGGCCCGATCCATGACTTGGCCTGGCTGAAAGATTTTCTCTTTAGTACTACGGAGAAGGATGAAGCCTCTACCACTTTTTGACTTGAATGACCAACCTTTAAACACGCTTACTCAAGCAAATTCCTGAGGAATGTAAATTACTGGCATTTAAAACAAATACTAATATAAGGTTTGGTTGTGTGAAGAGAATGTAATAGAATGCAAGACAATGACTGTTGCAGTTCTAACTTTACACTGTTATATCAGTTATAAAAGTTCCCAACTAAACCACAAACTGTCGATGAAATTTAGACATTTCGGAGAAAAGGAAAACTTGAGAGAGAACAAGAATAATGTCAAGTCGGATACGGAAGTTATACAAGTTCAAATTTCTTGCCGATACAGATGCCGAAGCATGAGACGGGAACAAAACAAGGTTTTATTGTGACAAAGACTTGCTCCATACAGAGCTTTATTAGGTTTTGATTTAATGAGAGTTTTAGAAAGAGAGAAACGCTGTGACACCAAGAGCTAGTTCGGCATTTTTCTTTTTACTATCTGACTTATGTTTATTTATCCAGAGGCCAAAGCACTTATATGAGCAGGCATGAGAATCAGCCACATTTACGCTGCTTTTATAATTATTAATGTAGCCCGACACTAATGTAACCTAAAATATTGAGCAATAAAGTACCTATGAGAAACTTGCACATTAGACCAAAGACTTTCAATATGTCACCTGGCTGCTGTAATGTTTTGGTGTCCCGTCGCCAAGCCTAATTTTTTCCTCTCCCTTACCTATCTACTGTACTCCCTCCCTCCCTCTCTCCTATCGCTATATAAAAATTAACTATTGATTTGTCTATACAACTGAAAAAAAATACTGCTCGTGTTATTCGCGTAACACACACACTGAACATTACTGTACAAAGGAAGTTTTTGCGACTCTCCTGCCTCCCACATATAAACTCCCCACCCACGATAGTAGGCATGGAGGGGTAAAGAATAGACCAGGGTATATCTCTAGTTCAACATGAATATTTATATTTGTTGTAGTGAAGTTACTCGTATGCTTATCTTGGCCTCTGTGATTGTTATTAAACATCTCGTAGAATGAATCAGACCAGAAATTTTCTTAATTCATGACTTGAGTGCGTTATAAGCCACAATACTGACCTGGTTTCTCATTGGGGGATCTACGTTACATCATGTGTAGGCGGAGCAAATACATGAAAGCCGACCTGTGATTGGAAGGTTTTTTGTACTTGAGTATTGTAAGCTGACGTTTGTACAGCAACAGTATTATCATTTTTCAGTCAGGTATGCAACCGGAAGTGAAGGGAACTATTTTTCTTATACATTATACAAACGAGATAACTACCTAGATTATAAAAAAACACGGAATCTTTTATAGACAAAACTGAACATTACCATACCACGATATATTTTTATGTAAAATGTGACAGGATTGATAAAGGGCATTACGAGAGAATTATGAAGATGACTGCATGCAAATGGGTGGGGGGAAAGGAAGAATAATGTAGGACAGGAATATGGAGTGGCAGAGGGAGAAGGGGGGGAGCTGCAGTGGGCCCCAACATCCTAAGGCCGGGGTAGGACTGACACCCTCCTTCACTGTTAGTTAGGCTTGGCAAGCGAGTGAGGTGCCTCTGTGTTTAAGATCAAGTGGATCAATCTTACTTCTTATATAGACTTGCAGGTAAGTAATGGATCTTATGGCTACAAGAACCCGTAACACGAGCTACTATTGGTTAAAAAAAATTTCACATTTGTTACAGACAATACAGCTCATTGCGTTCTGTCTGCATCCAGGGAAATTACCACGAAAACAATTACGCTTATTTCCCTTTGAAATGTATGCAATACTTTTTACCATAGTAGAAGTTTTAATGTTGGTTAGTCTGCATCATGCATCAGTGGCTGGTAATACGAAAACTTTGAGTTTGGTTTATCAAGAAAGACTGACTAAGCCTGAAATCTAATTATGTGTAGCTAAATTACTTTGGAGAAAATTAAACGTTGGAGGAAGGATTGAGAGATTAGACTTTAGATTTTGCCGCCGAAGCAGCTAGTTTATTGTGCACTCCATACCCCTCCTCTGGACGGTAGTGCATAAACATATAGGTGCACAAATGGCCTAGGGACTAGGCTCCAAGAATGGAGTGACAAGAGTACCTCTGGATATATACTTGTAATTTATACCTCGTCTATTGCAAGTTCTATGATTTTTTTATTATATCTATACGTGACTTCTTCAACGAGCACGTTGTTAAGAGTCCTCATGTGAGTCAAGTGCATTCAGTAATGACAATCGGTTATGATCAAGCAGCCAAGCTGTCATAACTTTTTTTTTCATTACGATGGCAAACAATTCGGTTAATAACGTTGGTTGCTATAATTCATATGAAGGGAGGTGGCAACAAGAGCACTTGCAGGCCTACATAGATCCATCAGTCTATATAATTAGTGATATCCTCTAACAGTTTAGCGAGAAATTTCTCCTTGAGTAACTGCCCTCCGAGTTAAGAAATGGAATACTCGTGATGAGTTTCTTGGGAAGAGCTTTAAGATATGTAATAGTAAATAAATGAAGATTCGATTAAGAGTTGAAATGCTAATGTTGTCTATGACAGTATAATTCATGCAGTTACAAGATTTAATTTAACTGCATGTTATTAAAATCCATTTATATTTGTTTATTTACCTTTAGATGTTTAGCAAAATTATGGTAACAATGGTTCATATCACAACATTTCAATACCAATTACAGTGTTAAGCTCAATTATTTTATTACTGATATTAAGAATACCAACTTCCTTCCTCGTATTAAGGAAACTTGGTACTTTTAGTACGGTCAAGAATAACTCTGTGGGCTTCGTTTTGCATTAGCTCCAATGGGCCATTGATATTTTTTATAAGCTAGTATTAACACGAGTGCAATATAATCAATTAGTGATCTGATACAGGCTATGTCCATCATTTTCACTATTCTTACATTAGTTAAGGTTGTAGCCAACAACGTTTCTGAGAGCATTTAAAATATATTTACATTTTTTAACTAGTTGTGCTATAGTGGATTTACTAAAGAGTACGTCTACACTACAATATCTTTAAGATATAATATAGCTAATGACCTTACCCTTCAAACAAATAGGTGGGGGCCATGTCGTTTGCTTGTTAGTATCAGAGTCTAAGATACATATATAGGAGTCCCAGTCACTTAGCCTACTTATAATGAATGATACTCATTTTCTTATTCCCTGATGCATGGATCATGTCATCAGTTTAGCGTCTAGCGTCTAGCTGTACGTGTAAGGTAGGAAGTCCGTTTAGAAAAGCATTAATTAATACATTAAACAGCATGGGACTGACAAAGCTTAGGGACATTTCTTTAGTTTCACTTCTAAAACCTTGGTAGCGAACAAAGGATACTATCTGATAAGTAACCTATTGTCCAATTGAGTAAGTTACTATCAATATTAATGTTAGGCTAGATTTAAGAGAGAAAGCACAAACTCTAAGTCATACAGAAGAATATCAAGTTCTGACATGCCGAAGCCCAAGCTAGTCCGGGATACTGACTAGACTTCTCGAGAGGCCACTTTATAATTAACATTGGCCTCACCTACACACAATAGTAATATGGTATACTGTGTATGCCACCTGCCCAGCCCGGGGTCCAGCCTACGTGACGCCTCGCGTATACAATATTACACTGGAGCTTGTAATATACTACCCTGTACCAAACAGATCTACAGTGTTGCTCTTGCCACTTCTTTGCTCTATTGTCACTCTTCCCTTTCACACTGACATTGCAATCTCCGGGGAAATACACTTGACGCTGTTTATAATACGATAACCAACATAGTGGTGCCACTGGCACTGTGGATGGAGGCACAGCAAGAAGCAACCACTGGAGTACCTACTATAAAGGCTGGTGTCTCTCGACACATGCGCCACTGTGATAGTCACTTGCAATATCATCAGCGATCCCTGGCTTACCAGAGTTATTCGGTGGTCTGTGTGCACCGTCTCATTCCAACTCAGGCGGTGTTCTCATTATAATTTTCCACTGCACTGTGTTGTGAAGGGTACGGTCAAGGTACAGACAAAAACACGTGGCATTACAAAGGGATCCATTGATATTCCGGGTCGCAACAGAAATTGTTTGCTTAAGAGCAGAGTTCTCAGGCGGTGGTGGGACGATGATTCTCTTAGAACACTAAACTGACTACACAGGATATATACAGATACGTATTTTTCACTATGCGTACAGCTTTATTTATATATATATATATATATATATATATATATTATATATTAAATATATATATATATTATATATATATATATATATAATCTTTCAACACACCGGCCGTATCCCATCAAGGCGGGGTGGCCCAAAAGGAAAAACGAAAGTTTATCCTTTTACATTTAGTAATATATACCGCCGGGTCGCCATCTGGAAAAGACCCGGGGCGGAAGTACCGGCAAATCATTAATGAATGAAGTAATATATACAGGAGAAGGGGTTACTAGCCCCTTGCTACCGGCATTTTAGTCGCCTCTTACGACACGCATGGCTTACGGAGGAAGAATTCTGTTCCACTTCCCCATAGAGATAAGAGGAAATAGACAAGAACAAGAACTAGAAAGAAAATAGAAGAAAACCCAGAGTGGTATGTATATATATGCTTGTACATGTATGTTCAGTGTGACTCAAGTGTAAGTAGAAGTAGCAAGACGTACCTGAAATCTTGCATGTTTATGAAACAAAAAAGGACACCAGCAAATCCTACCATCATGTAAAACAATTACAGGCTTTCGTTCGTTTTACACTCACTTGGCAGGACGGTAGTACCTCCCTGGGCAGTTGCTGTCGCCAACCTACCTATATATATATACATATATACATATATATATATTTTATATTATATATATATATATATATATATTATATATATATATATATATATATTATATATATATATATATTGCTTATGGGTCATTAGTGCTGCAGTTGACTAACACAAAGAACACTTTAATCCCTTAAACGTAGAATACAGAAATTTGTGTATATACAGTGAGAGATACATAGCCCCCAGTAAATATGTAAACGGAGATACATATATATTGGTGTGCATATACTGGGAAATTCACATCAGTATATTCGCAAATACACACACACTAAGTAACAAAGAGATAAATACCTACGTGAATGCGAGCACGCGCACCCACACACCCACGTTGAACTCTTCGTAACTTAGTACAGAAATGTGTGTATTTGGGAATATACTCTGATGTTAATTTCCCGGCATATATATACACCAATATATATGTATCTCTGTTTATATACTTACTGGGAGCTATATATCTCCCACTGTATAAACACAGTTTTCTGTATTCCACGTTTAAAGGATTAGTGTTCTTTATGTCAGTGTACAAATGAACTGCAGCATTAATAACACATACATCTGAGAGCTTTAACACCCAAGAAACTAGCTGTACTGACTGCCTACTCTGCCAGTCAGTGAGTAAGATGATTCTTTTGCGTAGGCGCCTGGAATGCGTACTGATTATGCCACCATTCATTTAATAAAGAGGATGAAATTTACTATCATAAATATTTTATTCTCTAAGAACAGTAAACTGTTTATATACAATGGTATTCAATGTTCCTCGTAGAAACAAGCAAAATTATATTCAAAGAAATATCGCAGCCAGCAGGATTCCATAATGCCACTAAACGTTAGATAGCTTGCTACGTTGCAAGTAATGTTGCTCCTAACGCCGCGCATTCCAATGAGCCTCAAGCATGGTTTCCAGCTATTTCATTTTACTGGCTGCGATATTTCTTTGCGCATACTTCTGCTGTTTCTGCGAGAGGAGTTAAATATAGTATTGCTCGTGAGGCCAGGACACACAGGAGAATGTAATAGCTAGAGACCATGCTTGAAGGCTCACTGGTGTGCCCAGCTTTAGGAAAAATATGGCTTTCGATCCAGCAAGCTACGTAATGTTTTGTGACATCTGTATCTGAGTGGTTTAAGGCGTCAGGTTGGCAGCTAGCTACACGCGAGGAGAACTGACGACTTTGGTTCGAATCCTGATATATATTCACCTCTGTATATTTCTTGCTAAATTGACCCGCCCCTCTCTTTCCTTCTGTTCCCGTCCCCCTTCTCTCACTCTCCCATTTTCTCCGTTAGCCCATCTTTCTGCCTTTGTCTGCGTTGTCTTTCTCAGTCTGTCTCTATCGCTATCTGTCTTTGCCTTTGGGCTCTGTATCACTGTTTCCTTTACTCGGTTTCGAGACAACAGACATACCGAGAAACCAATGCCAACTTAACGAATAAACAGTAGTAGACTTATGCGGGTAAAACAAAAAAAGTCAGTTCACAGAATCCACCAAGGATTATGTAAATTACACATGATTACAGAATTAACCCTAATGAATTCTTCAAATACATAAACTAGAAAATCACGTAAATAAATAATTTCTGTACACTGATCTTTTAGCTGCATTTGCACCATCCTGAGCAATGCAAGTCTGTCCATGGACAGCACTTCTATAATACCTCCATGTCGGTAAAAGGCTCTTGATTCGTGGAACCGGAGCTACCATTCCCTTCGGCTCGGACCTGACTGTCTCCCACTTTCCCGGCTGCTGTATGACCCAAACGGGTTTAGCACTTCCCA